ACGAGCCATCGGAGATCGTGACATTCAAGTGACGAAAGTGCACGACGAAGTCATCATCAAAGAGTACGAGGAGATCCTCGTGCGGGAGAGACGTTCTGAGCCACCCGTCATCGACTTTTGTTGACACCGCTTTTGCCCAAAGGCAAGCCCCGGTGCATAACCCCTATTTTTAAATGATCTCAATATATTTATATGATATGCATTTACGTTATGAGGCATTTTATGGAAGCTACATGCATAAATATATCCACCATGAGTCCTACTAGTATAGGTCGAGTAGTCATGCTATGCTCGGGATGTCGGTAGCGTGAGTAACTTGTCGTTACTCGCAAATAGGTGTTTAAACTGTGATATCATGATGAAATAATGGAAAGGAAAATGGTGACCTGACGGGGATGTTGATTTGGTACTTGGTGGGTGTGAGGGGTTGTGTCCTCGGTCAACAGGGGCATAGCCCTTGCTTACTTTTTCCCCGCTCAGTGTCGATTAAGGACCGGTCGTTGCATATGACTCTAGGCAAGTCATAGATTATTGTCCTGAGCACATACTTGGGTATGGGTGCAGGGAAGGCTTGCTGCTCTCTTGTCGAGGATCCGGCTCTTTCCGGACCGACTGATGGGAAGAGGAGGTGGTGGAGGTCCTTGCACCCCACTGAGTCCGGGACTCAGGATGTGGGGGCTTGGAGTCCAAGTTTGGACGGGGACCTGAACACCCGGGACAGGAGAGTGGTGAGTTAGTCCTGCTTGTGCCTAGGGTACAAGCGGGGCGTGTGTCTTCGGGGCACCCAGATGGGCACATTGATTCGCGAATCGCCGGGTTATCCGGTACGGCTTGTCTGCGGTTTAGCACCGTAGTAAGAACTGAAAGTTGAAAGGAGAAGAAATGGAACTGATTGCTCAACTCTTGCTTGAAAGTAGAACATGCTTATATAGATTGACTAGATGAAAACTTAATACGGCTGATGATAATAATGTATTAATAAGGACTCACTATTAGTATTGCTTTTTGCTAAAAGAGAACCAGCAAACCATAAAGCCTAGCATATTCCTTGGAGTCGGGAAAGTATTCCCATTGTCGGATAAGTCTTGCGAGTACATTGTGTACTCAGGGTTTATTTACCCCTGTTGCAGGTGATGCTTGAGGAGTTCCTTGTGTGGAGGATCCATCTGGTGGGCTCAGACGGAATCCTCGTTATCTTATCGCTAGATGTTATCTTTTAATATTCCGCTGTTTATCATTCCGCACTCTATATTTGGTATTGTAATAATGTATTTTTCAAGAAACTCTAATGTATGAGATAGACTTGTGTTGTAACTCGTTTTCATTATTGGATCCTTGGGGAAAATGTGGATCTTTCGGGTTCTCCCTTGGGGTGTGCTCGACGGACACCGCTCGCTGTAGTTACTTTCGAGGTGCTTAGTGTCTGATGGAAGACAAGCGCCTTCGTAAGTACGCTATTTCGGGTGGTTCTGCCACAACTACCTAAATGGATCATAGTTGGTTCGACTAGCTTCCTTACCCTTCGCACCCGTCGACTCAGATGTGAAGACCCTTGCTCATTTTTTTACTACACTCGGGCGCCGATGTAGCGCGCCACTAAGGAAGCGACGACCCGATCCTTGCTCACTTGACACCATGCCCAGATCACGACACGGCGCGTCACCAAGGGGGTGTCGACCCGGTCCTTGCCCATTTAACACCATACCGGGTTCCGATATGGCGCATCGCTAAGAGGGTTACGCCCCAACGGTTTTCTTTCGGGTTTCATCTCCATTAGAATGGCTAGATTTAACGTTGGCTCGCCACACCTATCACAACCCTCCTCTTTTACTAGGGTTTGGGATCTGCTATGCTGAGATAACATAGGCGGAGTTATTCACAGGTTTGAATCATGAATAGAAATTTTCTTGGCAATGAAGATACATTAAACAAAAACACAAGCCTGATTTCAGTTGTTTTTTCATGGTCCAGTTTGTCAGTGATGTAACGAAATACATCAGTGGTTGCATGGCTTCTCTATCAGCTATGATTCAGCTTGAACTTCCTCATATCAACATCCTTTCAAAGATGGATCTGGTCTCCAACAAAAAAAAAAGTAGAAGAGTATGCTTTTTTTTCTTCTTTCATCCCTTGCATAGTTCCAAAGGTTTGAATTTCCTTGTCTGTATTAATGTTCCAATGTCTCTAGGTACCTGGACCCGAATGCACAGGTTCTTCTTTCACAGCTGAATCGACAGATGGCACCTCGATTTGGCAAGTTGAACAAGTGTTTAGCTGAACTGGTAGACCAACTATGAACCATCCTTCATGCAAGCATTTACTGTTAAAATATTTTTATCAGAGTTCTTTAGAGTGATGCCATGCACCCATAATTGTTTGATTTGTGCATTTAAATTTATCCTTTGGATATAAATTGATAGCCAAGTTAAGATATGCTAAAAGTATAGCTTAGCCTAATGTTCCTTCAATGTGGTACTGCAATGGAACAGATCGTCTTCCTTGGTGCTTACGTCTTATAAGCTAGATACAGTCACAAAACTTTAGGTCCTGTTTAGTTCATCCAAAATACCAACTTTGACACTATGCAAAAAGAAGATTTCCCGTCACATCAAACTTGTGGTACATGCATAGAGTACTAAATGTTGACGAAATAAAAAACTAATTGCACAGTTTGGTTGTACTTTACGAGACGAACGTTTTGAGCCTAATTAGTCAATATTTGGACAATTATTATCAAATAAAAACGAACAAGTACTGTAGCTACAGTGCTTCGCGAAATCGGTCGGCGCCAACTTAATGACCAACTAAACGTGGCCTTAGTGTGTTTGAGCATTTAATATTCGGCCGGCGAGTTTGGCCGTTTGAGCCTCGGGAAACTGTTCTAGTACAGTGCCACAGGAAGGAAGGAACTCATTGATTTGGTCCTCCGAATTCATGCAATTTCCTTGCACCACCCTCGGCAGACGGCAGACGGCAGGATGGCACGTCAGTGTTATTAACTAGGGAAAAACAATGTGGACTTCTGCGGCGTTAAGTTTTTATATAACATTTCTCTCTATCTTCTCTGACCCATGCTGTGTTTTACGGTGACACTATTCTTATTTTTCTCGGTGGCACGATTTTTGTTGTCTTCGTTACTAGCTACTCCGTACTATCTATGGGCAATTGGGTATATATAAACGATTCCATCGACAAACATCTTAGGGATGTTTGGATCCAATGACTAAAGTTTGGATGTGTCATACAGGAGTGTCGCATGGGTGTTCGGATACTAATAAAAAAATACAAATTACAGAATCCGTCATAAATTCGCGAGACGAATTTATTAAGCCTAATTAATCATCGTTAGCATATGTTTACTGTAGCACCACATTGTCAAATCATAGACTAATTAGGCTTAAAAAATTCATCTCGCAAACAGTCTCAATCTGTGCATTTAGTTTCATAAATAGTATATATTTAATACTTAATGCATGTGTCCAAACATTTAATGAGATAGTGACTAAAGTTTATGAGGTGGAACCAAACATCCCTTTAGACTTGGGTCTAAGAGTCCTGTGAATATAACAATGGGTACTAGAGACGCAACAACTAATTGGGCATCAAAAGAAATATTGAGCTTAAGCTCTATATCATACATATTTGCTAGATCAACCTAGTTAACTAATGACCATTCCTCAATCCTACAATTAGCTGTTCCCTTTTGTTCCCATACCATCGACCCTCATTTTCTACCCGTCAGTCATTTTTGGCACTAGTGCCACCGATGCCGCCAATATCCACCAGTGAAGACAAGGGTCGGGGGAGGAGTGTCACTTCTAACTTTGCTATTTCTTCATTATATTTTTAAATGATCTAGCTAAGCTATCATTATTATACAGTTAAAGAGTAATGGCACCTCAAATGATATATGTCCTTCCTAAATCTTGGTCCTAGCTTCGCCATTGTCAGTATCAATCTATCGACCAAACTAAGTCCCATAGAATCATGTTTTGCAGAAATAATTTCTCACCAGCATACATTTTGGTCCTTCGAAAACTAATTGTTTTGCCACTACTGTCTCATTGCGTCACTCATGACATCAGTGCACTGCATCCTCCATGCTCTAAAGATCAGCGCCAGCAAATGTTCCCCTCTAACTCTAGGCTGTTAAAATTCCATCATGCCTGTCGTCGTCGTCGTCGCTGCTCCTTTGTTCAACAAATGTTCATCTATGTAACAACTAGCAAATGGAAATGTTCAGCATATAGCTAAATGCCAGAAAAACCCTACACACGACGTGAGAAGGATCCACCTAAGCTCCAGTCCTCCAACAGTCGTCTAGCAGGAGCACCGGAGAAACTGACTAGTAACTGAGACACGGTAGTCCTTGGCCCTTCGCGGCGCGCCCATGGCAGCAGGCAGCAGGCAGCAGGCAGCAGGCATCCAACATGACACCCACGCGAGATGGCGCCACATGCGGCTCGCAAAACTCCGGCTCCAGGGGGGCTAAACTACAAGAGCAAACACACAACAAAAAATGCGTTTCAAACCCCGCATTTATCGTTTCTCCTACTACGCTACGCATAGACTCTGCGCGTTCGCCTCTCCTCGTTAACGTTCACATTTCCCTACCCACGCCACACTGCCTCTGCCTACTCCCGTCCCGTCTCAGCCGTCTCGCTCCCCCCGACTCCATTCCCCACCTCGTCCCGCCGCCGCAGCCGCAGCCGCAGCGGTGGACGCGGGGAGCCTTCTCCGAGTACCCGCTCCTCTCCCCGCTCGCCGGGCCCCGCGGCGAGCATTCCGGGCTCAGGGTCGCCGGGAGCCGCGGGCGGTTTCGCGCGGATCTGAGGCTGCCCGGGCCGGAGAATTCGGGCTGAGTTGATTTGGTGGCGAGTCTAGGTGTGCGGAGGGAGAGGAATTCCGGGAGGGAGAGTTGGTTGGTTGGTGGGCGGGCGTGCGACGTACATGCGCCCCAGAGGCCGCCGCCGTCGCTGCTTCGTCGTCCTCGGGAAGCGATGATCGAGCAGTTCGTCAACTTCGTCATCCGGCCGCCTCGGTAATCACTTTATTCCCACCCGTGTAGCCGGAATTTGGCCTGCTTTCTGCTGCAAGTGCAAGTTGGTGGGATTGGGCAGCCTTTACGCCATTGCCCGTGATGATATGTCGCTACAATTCTTCACGTTTAAGAGTAGGAGTTTAGTGTATGAATTTTCTATCGATAGCAAATAGCTAGACCAGCCTATTGCAATTTATCGGCCTCTGTACGAAATGAAAAAACTCATCAGCCTCTGTTGTAAGGAAAAACGTACCCGCCTCTCACTGTAGTCTCAACGATTCTCAAGGCACAAGAATGCGAAAATTCTGTACTTGAAGTGCTCGAATCCTTGTTGGATTCATTTAGACCCCAATGGTACATTAGTACAGGAGTAAAAATTTGTTGTTCAGCCTTTCTATTGAGAGTCCAGTACTAGGTTTTCAGTCAAGCAAGTAGCTCGTCATAATCACATGTGCTGTAGTTGCACAACTAAACTGGTTTGTGTTAGTAAACCAAAAAAAGCCTTTGCATTTAGTTAACATGGCATTTATACCAACTGTACTTTCTAAAATAAATTTGTGCCTTTTCTGTAAGACGCTACAATAAATGAATAATTTTAGGTTCATAGCCTTCAGGTTTTGATATCTGTATCAAATTATTTTCTCTCTGTTTCCTGCTGAGTGGTGGTTAACTGGCAATGCATTTACAGTGCAGAGTACAATCCAGATCAGTATTTATGGGAGCCAGAGTTTACTCTCGCCGGAAGGAGGTATAAAAGATTAGATTTGGAGGCAAGTAAGGGTCAGGACTATCGAGGTTTTCCGTGTCATCCGTTTGTATGTTGGTGATGACTATCGATATCATTTGTATATCAACCTTACTCTTACTTGTATCATTGTATGTTGCAGCTTACGAATGAAAGAAGTCAGACCTTAAAATGCAGCCACTATGTTCCTGCTGTCATCCCAGAAAACACTGCCCTTCCATGTGTAGTCTACTGCCATGGGAATAGGTACTTACATCTCTTGTCTCATGCAGTCATGCTATTAGTTTCTGCCCTGTTGATCATAATTCATACATCTTAAACATTTTGATCAAATGAATTTTGAAGCTCTTACTTGTCTACCGCTATCAAGATGAATCTTATTTCCATTTTTGCTCTTTACCATCTTCAATAGCCAATGTGGTTCATTTAACAAGTTTTTTCATTAATTTAATGCAGTGGATGCAGAGCAGATGCAAATGAAGCCGCTGTCATACTTCTTCCTTCAAATATCACTCTTTTTACACTTGACTTTGCCGGATCAGGGCTATCAAGTGGAGATTATGTCAGCCTTGGTTGGCATGAGGTGTGTAGTCATTATAAATTTTGTAGCGACATTCATATTATATTTTAGAAGGGCGGGCCTGGTGCAAGCGGTCGAGTCTTACTGCTTGTGACCGGAAGGTCCCGAGTTTGAGTCGCGGTCTCCTCGCATTGCACAGGCGAGGGTAGGGCTTGCCTCCCCATACCCCGCACAGAGCGGGAGCTCTCTGCACTGGGTACGCCCTTTTATTCATATTATATTTTAAATGACATGTCCTGAAAAATATTATCACTGTGGTACTCCCAGAAGCAGGATCTCAAATGTGCTGTGTCCTTTCATGCGTAACAATAAGCAAGTTTCTCGATAGGCCTTTGGGGCGCTTCGATGGGTGCTGTTACAAGGTATTAATTTATCTAAAATGCTTGTTCTCTACTTTATGTGAATTGCCCATCATTCTGTTTCTGTGATAATATACCTTTTTAGAAGGTGTTGGATTATAGTAGAATATATCTCTTACAAATTGCATCTTAAAGAGTTTGTACTGATCATTGAATTGCCCCCCACCCCTATCCTGGTACTTGCAGTTAACTCTGCAAAGCATCTTGATTTAGATTATTCTTCATATATTTGCATTTTGGTAATTCATGACAACTTGTGTCCATATATTTGCTGCAGTCTGCTATATGGAGCAGAAGACCCCTCAATTGCAGGCATGGTTCTGGATAGTGCTTTCGCTAACTTATATGACTTGATGATGGAGCTCGTAGAAGTTTACAAAATACGAGTTCCTAAGTTCACGGTATGATTATCTTGTGGTGAATGTTTAGCTTCACTATTTTCATTAAAGTAACCATTTTACTGTTGAATTGTATGTGCTTTTTATGATATAATTATAGGCACATATGTGTATTGTTATATAAGAGATGTATGTAGAACGCTTGTTGGTAACTTGGTATAACAAGAAAGTTATTCTTTTTTTAAATATTTTAGGAAGTCATGCAACTAGTTTTTTGTATCTTAGGCCACTTTGGGGGCGTGAACCTAGAGTTGATACCCCATGCAGCAACTTTTCTAAATCCTGAACCAGTAGGGAGATTCAGCACCTGGCTTCTGTTTCCTGCCGCTGATGTTCCATGAAATAATGCTTGCTGATTGTAGATTGCAAATGATTCACAATATAGAAGTGCTGTTGTTAATGTTGTAAAAGTACACAGTATAGGCTTTCCTGCTTCATGTTCTGTTCAAGTGCTCACTGTATGTTGCTATACTCACATGATTTGATGGTTGTTGTGATACATATATTTTTCAGGTTAAGATGGCTGTTCAGTACATGCGACGTGTCATTCAGAGAAGAGCTAAATTTGACATAATGGATCTTAATGTTGTCCAGGTTCGCTTTCCAAAATAGTATTTTCTATTTTCTACTAGTTCAATCACTGAAGAGCCTGGTAGAACTTTTTAAAAAGGTGGATTGGAACGATTTGTTACCATTGTTATAGTTACGATCCTTGACAAGGACAATGGTATGCATTACCTATGAATGGATGCATGGAATAGTTAGAAACGCATATGGTTAGCCTATTTTTGACCTGATTAGGCCTCAAAGGAGCAACTTGACTGCAATGCAAAAAGAAAAAGTACGGAAAAAAGAATGGTTTATTGCATGTGTCTTTTTCACCCAAGTTAGGATTCTCAATTGTCTTGGCTCTGAACACTGACATTAGATAAGTCGAAACTTCTACATGAGATTGATTTTGAGTTGAGATTTGAGCCATATTGCTTGTGTAAAATTGATTGTAGCATAAAACTACATGTTATACTGTGAATTCTTTTTCTTAGGAGTACTATCATAATCAATTCCATTTTTCAGTCAAACTCATAGGATGTGAATAGACTATCTTTCTGGGTAACATTGTTTTTTTTTGCCTTGCCAGTTTGCACCCAAGACGTTTATTCCTGCATTATTTGGACATGCTTCAAATGATATGTTTATTCAGCCACATCACACAGAACGTATTCATCAGGCATATGCTGTAAGTATCACTCTAGCTTGCTTTAGGAAGGCTGATCAGTACATACATGGCTTTTAAATGCATACAAGCCTCATCACTGGTGATTGCTCCGCTGAAGGGCCTTCTGATTGCTGCCCATGTTGGTGACATATTTCTATTCCTCTGCAGGATAAAAATCTAATCAAATTTGAGGGTGATCACAATTCCCCAAGGCCCCAGTTTTATTACTTACTCTGTTTCAATATTCTTCTACAATGTTCTTCACCCACCTCAGTTTCCTTCAACTTGCACAAATAAATTTGATAAGTATTACAACCTTGGTGCTTTTAAGGGTGGTGCTGGTACCAATGAGGTAAATTTTCAATTCATTTCTTTGCAATCCTGTGTGAAATCTTCTGCCTCATGTTGTACGAAACTCTCCTAGTAGATTACTTATACATGTAATTGAATTTTCAGAGCTTATTATATGAGATCATCAATGGTCTACGGGCAGCTGGCACTGATGCAGGAAGTTCATCAGCTGCTACAGCTAATTTCACAAATGGTGTGGCTTTTCTTCCTCAATGGTTGTACTTAGTATCTTTAAGTAACCATTTTCTGCTTATTGACTTCGTTTTCATTGTTTCAGCTACAAAATCAGTAGTTGAATTGCTGACAGAGAGGGTAAATCAGCTATCTGTTAAAAATGATAATGACTTGGTAAGTCACGGTTGGGGCGTGAGTGTGTGTGTGTGGTGTGTGAGGTGTTGTTCGGGCTCTTACCCTTTATTCTCTTCTTAATATACTGAAGCGCAGCTCTCCCAAGCGTTTAGAGAAAAAAAAAGTCAATTATTGTCTGCCCTTCCTATTCTACTTGAGATTTTAACTCCATTCAAATGCAGGATTTTCTTTTGGATGAAAATCATAACCCCACTGAGATGGACGGTAACACAGGAGAGTGTCATTTAGAGGTAAAAGAATATATTTCCTAGTTTCTTTGAGAAAAAAATAATGATCTTTGTGATTTCTTTACTTGTGAAGTTAAGGAGTTTTCTTTCCTTATTAGGATAAAGCAAACAGACAAACAGAGGAATGCTGTTCATACACCAGCTCAAACAGAGAGAGCTGGGGAAGATGTTCCTCCTTGGGTGGAGCTAGTGATGGATCGTCATCAGGCGAGCAGCCTGAGATACCTAATCATAAGCTCAAGGTACATTTCTTCAGTCTTTTAATAGGCCCTTAAGATTTAGAATGCTAGAAGTCTTTGTGTTTATTTGCTACTCCATATGTTCAAAATTATAGTTCACTTTGCTTTGTCCTAAGTCAAACTTCTCTATCTTTGACTAAGTTTTAGAAAAATATATTAACATCTATAAACAAATTCACTATCAGGACATTATGTAGAATTTAATGAAACTAATATGATATTCTAGATGTTAATATATTTTTCTATAAACTTGGTCAAAGCTAGATAAGATTGACTTAGGGCAAAACTAGAGTGAGCTATAATTTGTAACGGAGTACTTCAACAATATAAGGCTGATTTTGAATTAGTGATGTCCTGCTTATGCTGGATCTGTGAACCAGTAAATATAGGACAGTTTTTAATCTCATTTTCTTCTCCCAAACTGTAGAGCATGACACTAAGGGCTCTAGCAACGCCACTGAGACGGGTACGAAGGAAACCTCTACCTCTCACGATCCCGAAGGAGAAGAAGAATCAATCACTGTGGAAGAGGTTAAAAAAGGAGAGGCAAGAGATGGGGGAAAACATATCCCAGCGTCTCCGGTTGTGTCTCCAAGGCCAGGCTCGACACAAGAGAACCAAATCATCTTGACAACTGTGAATACCCATTTAACTCTTGGAAAAAATCTGTTAGGAACTCACTGATGGTTCACCGACAGAACCTGCGCTGCGATTTGGAGCTTCTGACATTCAGCGCCAATCATGCTGTGTACATTGGTTGAACATTACTTAGAAATCTTTCTGTTAGGTCATGGATTGTCCCAGCCCCGATGTGTTGACTGCCAACCTTTAATATTCGTTTCTTATGATTCTTTCCAATTTAATCCTGTAAATTTCAAGGCTAGGAACTGTTCCGGACTTGTGGCTGGGGAAGGGGCACCAGTGCATTGCTTTCAGGATTTGTGTAGGGTTTGAAGGTCGAGTTGTATCGACAGAATCTCATTTTTATGCTGCTCGGTAACGTCTCTGATTTGCTATGCTGTACTGTCGTACCTGGCGTGAAATGGTTGGTGGCACATGCATTCCTATCCTGAGCCATTCTCTGATTTGTGTGGGTTTGCCTCTGGGCGTGGTAATCATCACCAGAAATGTTAACGGACCTTTATGTGCTCTGCAAACGTGAATCCACAATCTCATTGGCATATTGTAGTACTTGACGTTTTGAGTCTCGACCTTGTGCTAACCTCTGGTTGGGAATGTCATGTAATCTATTGTACACTGGAGCTTCGCAAAAAAAAAAAGGCCTGGGTACTCCTAAATTTCTATTCTGTTTTAAAATAAGTACACATCTCGAGAAGTTTTTTTTTAGTTTGATTAAATATATATTTTAAAAATAGTAATACTTATGATCTGTAATAAGTATTAATGTATTATGAGATTGGTTCTGAAATATACTTTCATAATAAATTTATTTGAAAATATAAACATTAATATTATTTTTATATACTAAATTAAATTTAAAAATTGACTCTTCGATAAATGAGGTATATCCACTTATTATTTTGGTAGCAGGGCAGCAGAACCTCGTTTTCGGGCACAGGTGGCTTGCCAGCTTGTGTGCGCCACCTGACCAGCCGAACCGTTCCTGTTGAAGCTATGGAATGGCGCCGCCTCTTCCTCCCTCGCCACCACTCCCTCTCCTCCGGCGCCCAGGCCAGCGCTGCTGTCGTCGCCGGCGAGATCTCTGCCCTCCTCACCGCCCGAAGTTTGCGGGATTCCGTTAACTGGGCGGAGCAGTTCATACGCTCCAATGCCGTCGGGGCGTCCGGCGTCCCCGAGATGTACCGCTCGTTGGCCGCCGCAGGCCCACGTGGGCAGCGCCTTTACCTCAGCGGCGCGGCGTTCGCGCTGGTCGAGGCATCCGCGCGCGCGGACCTACCCGACGGCGCGCTGCTGCTGATCGACCTCCTCATCCGCACGCCCAAGTTGCCGCGGCCGTCGGCGACCTCCTGCGGCCACCTCATGGCGAAGCTCCTCTCCCTCAGACGCCGCGCGGATGCGCGCCGCGTGTTCGAGACCCTCGCCGATCGCCAGCGCAGCAGGGAGATCACCGCGGTTTGGAGATCCGGGAGAGCGGCCGACGCCGTCAAGGTGTTCGGCGAAACGGTGGACACGGCCGCAGCGCCAAAACATTCCAGGTACCGGTACCTTACCATGAATATGATGAATGACTGCCTGAAGAAGGGAGATCTGGAGGCTGCTTCAGAGCTGCGAACCTGGATGGTGCAGGCGGGCTTGAAGGTACCCAAGCAACAGCGGCAAATGCTTCGGATGCTGGAAAAATTCCGGGAGTGCCCACACAAAATCCCCCGGAACGTGCTCATCGAAATCTGCATCACGGCGGATGGCGTCGATGGCTCCAGCACACGGGCCACGATGGCATGGCACCTCCCAATGCTCACTCCTACAACCTGGTACTCGCTGGGCTCTGGAAGGCCAGTAGGGGCGACGACGCTGTCAAGATGTTCGGCAAGATGGCAGACATGTTCCTGGCGCCAAATAATTTCACATATACTGTCATGATCAATGGCCACTTGAAGAGGCTGAGTCATGTTCTGGCCTCGAAGAAGAACGAGAGTGGGGATCTGGAGGCTGCGCTCCAGCTGCGGGCTCAGATGGTGCAGGATGGCTTCAAGCCAGATGAATACACCTACCATTCACTGATGGCAGAACTCTGCTTGGCTGAACGGCTGGGAGACGTTACAGCTCTGTTCCATGAGATGCGGATGCACGGGACGACACTACACAAGATCGTTCATGGCAGCCTGTTTGAGTTCCTCTTCAGAATCAACGAAGATCAGCTACTGGGCATCATTGAAAAATCTGCAAAGGACGGTGTTGCTGCAAAGGATAATGGTTGTGTTACCTTGTTGAAGGAGCTTTGCAGGATTCAGAAAGTTTCACTCGCAGAGAAGGTGCTGCAGACATTTGCGAAAACAGGGTTGGTACCAACAACGGAGATGTACAACATTGTCATTGACGGGTATTGCAAGATCAATGAGCTCCAAGGGGCATTCTCGTTGTGTCGCCAGATGGAATCACATGGTCAGGTTGTACCTAATGAAGCCACCTACGATGCACTGCTGCTGGCCGTGCGCAACAGCACGAGAATCATGTATTGGGAGGACGTGGTGGAGTTGTTTGAGAAAAATGGAGTTAGTACTGATGCGCTGAACTCCGGCAGTTCTGCTACATACGGATTCAAGTATAGGAATAGTCTAGTACCTAGAATGTTTAACAAACTGGTGAGCAAGCTATTTTAGAATCTGCAAAATAGATATTTTCATTGTAGGTCTAGAGTATTAGCTTAAACAGATGCTCGATGATGATGCAGCGTGTATTCTCTCTTAAGGACTTGTGGAAGTCAATGGCAAGCGCGTGCCTTGTTTGCTCGACGACTACATTTTAAAGCGCACATTGATTGACCTACCGATGGTCCTCAGCTGCCTCAGTGCCTCGTCAGTTTTGGCACGTCATGTGGTTGCTAACTTGTAGATTTGTTGGATGCATTATTGGGCTTAGGCCATGTTTAGTTCCTCATCAAACTCAAAATATTCTGAATTTTGGCCCAATATTCTGGGAAATGGATCTAAACACCACTCAGAATTTTTTGGAAACACATACCCATTCTGAATTCTGGTTTCTGGAGTCCAGAGGCCAAAATAAGCCCAACTTGGGCCTGGTGCACGTGCTCCTCGCCCACACTGCCCCCAATCGCTGCTCGCCCGCACTGCCCCCGAACCCTACCCGGCGCCCGATCGGGAGCCGCCGCCGCCGCTCTGCTCGCCCGATCGGGAGCCGCCGCCGCCGCTCTGCTCGCCCGATCGGGAGCCGCCGCCGCCGCTCTCTCCCACTCGCTGCTCGCCCGAACCCTACCACTCAGCTTCGGCCCCAACGCCTCCCCTCTTCTGGTTTCCTCCCCCATCTCCACCACCTTGGGTCCTTCCCTCCTCCGCCTAAGAAAGCCGTTGTTGCCTCCGCCTCGGAGGCCGTCCCATTGTGTCGCGGCATTGGCCGTCCAGTGGAGCACCAGCCACACGTTACGGCTCGGCTCGGTCGCGCGTGCTCTCTCGCTTCGATTGGGGCGCCGGAGCGAATCCGAATCCCAGCCTCAGACACCGCTGCCGCCTCCCTTTGCCACTCCACCGTTCGTCCCTTCCCTTCTCCACCACCTCGGCGGGATCTTGTCTTGCTGCTCCACCGCCCAATGAGATCTTGCACTCTCTGCACCGCCTGCATGGACGAAAGTACAACAAGCGATGTATTCTTCCACGGCGACGACGACAGCTACCACGGTGATGGCCACAAATACGGCAACATCGACGCCACCGAGGACTTCCCATCGCAGCCGCCCACCGCCAAGGCTACAATCAGCGGCCTTCACCGCCCCGATCCAAATCCACGACTTCCCGCTTCTCCCGTCGAAGCATGGCGGCCCTCGACCTCAACTCGCAGGGGCAGCCAATGGCCGCCCATGGGAGGGGTACCAGGCCTCCTTCGCCCGGTCTTCAAGGTGGAGATGTCGACGGCCCCAATGCCTCCCCTCTCGTTGGAGCCCACAACGCAAGCCAAGTGTTGGAGCTGGAGGTGTTGGCTTCCGTGCTCCTCGCAACCTTTGGAGTTGAGCCGGGTCCGGGTGCGCTACCTCGACGTTCTCCGGTGGTGGCTGGTAGTAGTGTGCCATGTTTGTTGGTCGCGGCGCGTCACAAAGAAGCCTCCACGGCCCATGGCGCAGTAAGTCTACCTCCCGTGGCGTAGGCTCCACGGCCCGCGAGTAGACGCCCTCGGTGCCGGCCTGTCGCGGAGGACAACTTCGGCCAACGCCTCAACGACGGTGACGACGCGTCGAGATCCTACCCAACGCCCAAGGGTATTTTTCTTAGTTGTACCATTACATTCTTGCAATGTTGATATATGTGTAGTGTCTGCTCCTAGCTAGCTAGGTCATCATCTGGCGAGATATATGTGTAGTTTCTGATTTGATATATGCTCTTCTATGGTTCACAATTTCACAGTACTAGTGTCGCCAACAATCAGAGTTAGTTGTTATCTGTTAGTGATTGTGCACAATGCTTGATAGAATGCCAACAATCTGTTAGTGATCTGTTAGTGATTGTCGCCAACAATCAGAGTTCGATTATTGGTACAATTTTTTAGGGTGTGCAGCGAGGCCAGCAAACTTGATAGAATGCTTGAGCCCTTAGATTTTGCTGTTCACTTTTTGCTGTTCAAACTTGATAGAATGCTTGATAGAATTGCTTGCCCTGCTTGCAAGATTGTTAGGGGTGCATCTGTGTGTATCTGTGCTATCTGTGTGTGAAAAAGGAAACTATACTCCATCTTATAGCGTTGGTAATCTTGTTTGTGAAAAAGGAAACTATACCTCCTAGATTGACGTCTTCATGCTAACCGCAATGGAACTCCGGGTACCCAAACCGTCCGGGTACCCAAAACACCTCTTCAATGGAAGCTAACCGCAGTTCATAATTGTGCAGAAAAGTTTTACCTAGTGGACTCCGGGTACCCAAACCGTCCGGGATACCTTGCACCGTTCAAGGGAACCAAATATCATCTTCCGGAGTACCGTGACGGCCCGGAGCCTGAAGGTAAAAATGAAATCTTCAACTTCACACATTCATCGCTTAGGAATATGATAGAGAGGTGTTTTGGAGTACTGAAAATGAAATGGAGGATTCTGCTAGGGATCCCCGCTTATCCTCCACATGTCCAGACCAAAATAATTGTTGCTTGCATGGCACTACACAACTTCATTAGAGCTAGTGGATTAGTGGATAGGGACTTTGCACTTTGTGATCGTGATGAGAATTACGTCCCACCTGAAGCGTCATACTCTCAGCCACGAACTACTCCGGCACCGTCAAGGGAAGATGCAGAAGTGATGAATGTGTTTCGTGAATCGATCGCTGTTGGTCTGTATAATCGTTCTTTGTAATCGCTGTTAACTGTGTTTGTGAACTGTGTAAAACATGTGAACTGGTTTGTGTAAAACTGTGAACTGGTTTATGAACAATTTAGTACATGTGAACTGTGAACTGTGTTTGTAAAATGTGCTTTGTGAACTGTTAAACTGTGTTTGTGAACGATGGCTTTGTGAACTGTGGCTTGCATGTCAAAATTGTGAACTGTTGACCGTGGCTTCCATGTCAACATTGTGAACTGTTGACTGTGGCTTGCATGCATGCTTGCGTGTCAAAACGATGGCCTGTGGCTTGCATGGAAGAAGCAGCAACGTCGATGGCTGGAAGCAGCAGCATGCATGCTTCTGCTTGGGGATGAGGCAATATGTGATTTGGGATTTCTTGATTTTTGGTGCAACTAAACAGGTGCATGGGAATTCTTGATTCTGGATTTGGGATTGTAAAAAATTTGGAAATCTGGATTCTGGAATTAATGAATTTTGGGCATACAAGTCCTTATCAAATCCGAGGAAAACGAATTATTGTCCTGCAAACCATGGAGGTGGTTGGTGCTTAACCTAAATGAGGACTCCAATGTAAACAGAAGCTTTTGACCATGTAATCAATCATGTAGGGCGTGATTAGTTGTCGGATTTTCTCTGATCAGGCCTAGGCGATGAGACTTTTCCTTGTTCGGTTTGCTGCATGAGCACCTGAGCCAGGCCTGTTCGCTTAGCTTATCAGTCAGAATCAGCCCTATTTTTTTAGTCATGGAACATTATTTTTCTCTCACAACAAATTAGCCACAGCAGCAATAAGTCCTACTGAACATGGACACGAGGATGATGGCTGTATTTCTCCGGCCAGCTCACAGGATGCGAGTAATTAGCCATCTAACGATGTTGTTAATGCATTATTATCACATACTAAGTGATATTAACATATCCCAATTTAAATTAATGAGTAATAAGATAAATTAAGAGCTAGGAGATACTAGTAGCACTATAAATATTATGATGATATATTTTTTTTATCTACACCCCTACTTGTGTGAGCAACCAAACAACTTGTTATGACTGTCTAATTTTGTGTTTATGCCTGGACCCTAGATGTGAGCTAGGCTGGGCTTGTCCATGAGCCAATCACGCCTGTAGATCAACTTAACAAAGATCCAAGAATGGTCATAGATAGTAAATACCATTTTATACACATTAGTATGTTGTACATCAGGCTAATTGTAACTATGAATCTCAGATTGAGTCTTGTCTTGTAACACCATGTCAAGGGCTGTTCTTGTGCATGCGTTAGGTACTGTCGGTGTTTCGAGTAAACATCAACAAGTAAATTTCTAATATTACGCGTCTAGCTCGGATGATGTGCTAAGAGGACACGGGATTTATACTGGTTCGGGCAGAATGTCCCTACGTCCAGTTCATTGCTGCTGCTCATGTTACTAGCACTGAAAGTTCGTAGTAGGGGTTACAAACGGACAAGAGAGGGACATATCCCAAGTCTCTGATGGAAAGAACGAATGGGTGCCGAGAGCTCGATCGCTGCTCAGCTATGTGTTCGAGGTTCGATGCTAGTGGTTCTGCTATGATGTGATGTGCGATGCGGTGAATCGATCCCACTAGTGGGGTGCACTGCTTTCCCTTTTATAGACCAAGGGAGAGCATGGGTTACAGATGGGAGAAAAAAGAAAAACAAGAGGCAAATGAAGTCCTTCAGGGTCGCCGGAACTTCCTTTTCTTCTGTGCGGGCCCCATTGGGACAGCCTCACGCTGGGCGCCTGTCTGCTGACCATGACAGGGCCACGTCGGGCGCCTGTCCCCTAGCATTGTCAGCGAGTCATCATATCTCACTCCATCCCGGAAGGTGGCGCGGTGAACCAGTGTGCTGATCAACGGTCATACAGAGAGTAGGCAGCACAGTGACCATGCGTCCATCACTGTGGGTGATGTGAGTTCCCTGGAATGACATGTCGCGGGGACGGGTTGCGCTGAGGTGTGAACGCTCCCTGCACGACTCTAGAAGTTTGACCTTGGGTCACACCTTCTGGACTGTAGTGGTTGTCGTGAGCTTCCGTAAGGATCCGTGCCCGAGGGCAAATGACGGCGCCCACAACACTGTGAGGCAAATGTCGGCGCCTACAACACTGTTTGGGCTCTGACATGCCTGGAAGGTCGCAAAGCACCCTTCTGGCATGGCCTGATGGTACTGTCATGCAGGCGTACATGGTACGGTCCTCGGTATTATGGTTGACTTTGAGCGCCTTGCCTTATCTGCTCCGTGTGTTGTTGTAAAGGAGTCACGCGCAGACGTCGGGCGAGGCGGAGCCAGCCCTT